CAAACACATGCTTCTTCCTTCTCAACTGCCACTCAATCACATTACAACATAGCAACCAAATAGAAGCTCTGTTCTGTTTGGGAGAAGGGTTGTTGATCACTATACAGTGGGGCTGCAATCTCTCCAGTTGCTGCCAAATACCATCTTGACCCTTCATAGTGGAAAAGTTGTATCCTGCCTTGAAATCCATAGGAGATGCAACTTTAACACCATTCTTTGAAAGGAACCAAGATAATCCACTGTTTCCATGAAGTAACTCAACAACATCAGGATGATCATCATTACAGAAGAAAAAGGACTGTTCTCCGAATTCGGCATCAACATACAGTTCGTGATCTTCACGCAAGTTCTCCGGATTCTCATCGTCTAATGCCGGTATGGAAACATCATGCCACTCATCGTGATCACGTCTAACCTTCGACTGATTCACACGTACTACTGCCTTACCAGTGTTGGCTTGGACCATAGCTCCTTCTTGTCCAAGTACTGTGGCACGAACCCAACGTCCTTTATCCTTGAACTTTGATGAATCCTGAGTCCAAACAAAAACCTTCTCTCCTTGGAAATAAGGACCGTCACTTGGCATAGTCCTTCTCGCAAGATCTGCTCGAAGGTCCTGAGCTTGTCGTGCTTCTTGATGAGCTCTCAAAGCCACACGTTGTAGTTCCAAATTTGTACGATCTTGTGCGGCGGCATTAGCTGACAATTGCTCAGGGCTTGCGGTCTCAAGGTCAAAAAGATCTGGTGGACGTCTTCCAGTTGCTATCTCTATTGGTGAATATCCACTGATAGTCAACTGACAATTTCTTGCCCAAACTACCTTCTTGACCACTTCTCTGACGGTAACACCACGAAAACGTGGGTCATCCAGATCTACCTTCATAACATGCCACATACGTTTAAACAAACGTACAGCTGTCTCTGCTCGGTTCGGCCAAGGAGTTCTTGGCCCACAAGGACATTGTTGTATACCATGGAACCTGTAGTATTCAACAAAAGCATCTGTGAAAAAGGCTTCGTCTCCTACGATGGCCTTCGGAACACAATTGTTCTCATCAGACCACTGCCTCAATGCTTGGATGGTGGTTTGATCTATGAGGTCTTTCTGTGCCGTAGCCCAGAGAAGATTTGTGGCACCATCAAGAACAAGTAGAATGATATACTTGTTCTTGTGAAGTTCAACCTCACAATGATCAGCAAAAACAACATCACCAAAACATGAAGCTCTAATACCGGAGACTCTGGCTCGTGGCGGAGGTGCCACTGAAGTGTTACAAACACGGCAATTCCTGACAACTGATTCATACTTCTCTAAAACAGAGTCAGGAAGCTTCAACATAGAAACACGTCTACGAAACTGAGTAGGACTCATATGGTAGTGCTTCACATGAAGCTTATAAAGCTCTACCTTGTCCTCCAGTCTCTGTAACATCTTCCTATATGCCGGTGTCATTGCAACAACTTCACTACCAGGTAATGGGATTGAAATCCGCCTAGGCTCAAGAGCGCCATCACCTGGTTCAAGTGGTTCATGTTTATCACTTGATGGTCCTTTTGATGCTTTAGGAATTTCTACAAGTTCACCTTCTGGCCTCTCAGGTGGTTCTGAAGGAGCATACTCCTCAAGATCATCACCCTTTAAATCATTCTGAGGCTCAGATGGTTTTGACTTGTGTCCTTTCCAAAATGGATCAAAACCCTTGGAAGTATACCGGAACTTTGGCGGCACGGGCTTTTCCGCGGCACTGGATGGTGCACCTTCCTTCTCTGATGAGAAGCCTGGTTCCCTGTCCTTTGCAATGGGAACCTTCTCTGAGGAGGAGCGCACCACTGCATCGGGATCACCAATGCCACGGTGCTCAATGCCAGCCTTCCTGATCTTTAGATCTGGAATTTTGGCATCTGGCTTAAATTTAAAAATTGTTCTACCACGCCATTCATAGCCAAGTTGTAGGTCCTTCCATTTTGCCTTGCGCCAATCATCTGTCTTCTTGATTTCTTCTCCTCCTGCTTTCTTCTTGATGATTGTCAGTCGCAAGTCTTCCAGCAAGTCAGTGTCTACAGGACAGGACTTAGTTGCTGGGAAAAGAATTTTCCTGTAATCCTTGTGGTGACGTATCAGTTCTCTCTTGTGAACATCTACTTCCCAGAAATCAACCACAGGATATGCATGCTCAGCTTCACCTTCATCACTATCGTGTTCAACAGAAATATGGCCATATTCATAGTGAGTGAGGTGAGAGTAAAAACTCTTCTCACGCTGAGTCTGCCAACGCACGTCAGACAGATACCATGCAATATCTTGGAAGTCCAACACAAGATGAGTACTGGCTGCAACCTTCAACTCCAAAAATTTGATACCAAGAGGCACCGATGTCAGATAAGCATGTTGAGGTGTCAGCCTGAGTTCAAAGCCTAAGTTCCTCATCTGTGGCAAGCTCATAAGCAAAGGGACTTCTCCTTCTTCCACTATGTCGAACTCTGTATGGTGGATCGTCCATGCACGATCATACATGTAAATCACCAGTTTCTGAGAGCAAGTCGCCCTCTGGGAATTGGCAAAGTAAAACTTGCTCTTGGTAGACTCAAAAGAGTACCATAATCCACAATCTGGGTGATTGTCGACATAGTTGCAAAAATGGTCGACTGCTCGCCTTGATCCCATAGCTCTAGTGCATCCAATGTCCAGGATTGCAATAGTTGGCGGGAAGCGATTCTCAGTCAAAAATGAAATAGCCTGCATCTCCTTCACTTCTTCCTCAGCGCTCATAAGCGCAAAGCCATCAGCGCTCATAAGCGCAAAGCCATCAGGAGCCTTTGTGAGCATCTCCTTTGACAAAGAGCACCTCACAGGGGCACTCATGTCATCGAAGATCGTCTCACCATTGTTGACCACGCAGTCAGCTTCATCTTGGCATGAGGTCATCATGCCTGACAGCAAGTCCACCTCACTGTCATGGACTTCAGCTGCTGCTGTCACACAATGTGCATAGAAACCTTGTTGACCTCCTGATGCTTGTGAAGTTCTTGAAGGTGCAGGTAAAGAACGTGGCTGTTGTTGATTTGCATAGTTTGCATCTTGTTTGCCATCTCCTTTATCCTTTCCTTTTCCTTTCTTGCCTTTTCTCTTGCCTTTTCCTTTTCCCTTGTGGGAAAACCATGCTTCTTCAAGCTGTTGCCAAAAGTCATTGGCATCATCATATTCTCCTTGAAGATAGTCATTCATATCTTCGGCAAGAATGGCATCATATGCTACTTGGTTTGACTCCCAAGTGTCCTCATAAGGATTCTCTTCAAGGTATTCATCTGGAAAAGTTGTCTGTTGCTCATCAGCAAAATGGCCTTTACCTCGTCTCTTTCCTTTTCCTTTTCCACGAGGTCTGAAGAATCTGCGGCCTGATCTTCCTTTTCCTTTTCCTTTCCTTCTACCTTTTCCCTTGCCTTTTCTGGCTCTTCTTCCTTGGAATCTCCTTTGGAACCATGAGAAGTTTTGATCATCATATACCCAAAAGACATCGTCCAGGGCATCTAAAAATCCTTCTGTTCCATCTTCTTCATCTTCGGCCCAATAGCCAAATGTACCATCGAGTTCTCCTTCGTCTAGTACGAGAAATGATCTTCTACCTCCAGCACCTGTCGGCTGCATCAATGGATTGTCTACTGAAGTCTTTGTCGTGCAGAACATCTCGATGAAAACTGTCCTCAGCTCTGTTGTAGTGTATTGCTGCAGGTACCTGCCACGATGAGTCATCAACGAAGTCAAAGTGTTTCGCTGGTCCTGAGACAAATCTGCAAGGGACAGCATGAGTAGGGCAATGAGATTCTCTCCTAAAGGAAAATCATTCTGATGAAGAATTCTCATATTGCCATTGACATTCTGCATGATTTCCTGAATCCTTTCTGCCGTTGGTGCTACTCCAGTCAACGCTGCATCTGCCTGCATCTGAGCAAGGACTTGGGGATGTGCTTGAGTGACTGGTTCTAACATGTCCATCCAACTGCTCATAAGCCTTTGGAGTAAAATCTGGAATCGTGTCATCCATTTCATCATGTCAGCTGATCCTCGATTGAATCGCACGAATTGCATAAACCTGTATAGGAATACATTGGTTGATCCTTTCACGAAATATGGTCGTAGTATTCGTTTGAAGTAATCTACTCCTGCTCCTGGTGGCTCATTAGCCTTCAATGAATCTCTGTCTAATACACGTTTGTATACTGCTGCTTCTCCTTCTAATCTGTTTCTCAAAGCTGGTCCTCTCTTCTCATCTTCCAGCTCGGTGATATCACACCAATCGTCTATGGCATCCTCATAGGAAAACCATGAAGTCTTTCCATCATAAGATGGGGGCACCTTTGTAGTGACCTGTGTTGTCATTGCTATTGCTGCTGGTTCTCTTCTCACATGCCTATTCACGTAGGCTGCTGGCTCATAAGCCACATCCGCATCAGGCTCTTCCCAGTCGTCAATCCAATCCATGGCCGTTTGCCCACAAGCAATTCTATGCCTAGGAAAGGAGCTCACCTGGGTCTTCCAGGATCACTGCTCCGCTACCACTGAAAGAGTGACTAGGGCGTACACGGTAGAGGTGCAGACCGCTAGTGTCTTTTATGCGCAGAGTCTTATCCTCTTGCTCCTTGAGTCCATTGACTCTCTCTTGAGCCTTGAAGCAGTCAAGCATGGACACACTATATCAGCTGTTGGAGTGGAACCCTGTACAGATAGGCTCTACTTTTCAGGGGGGGGGGGGGTTGGGCTGAGGGGTGGAGATGAGGATGTGAATCCGAGTGAGAGTGTGATTTATACATTAATGGATCATTTTTTCCAGACTTGGACGGGACGTAGCTTGAGCTGCATGTTTGGAAGCAAACGGAGGTTAGGTTGTTGTTCCTCATTTCTCGTACAAATTTTACACCATGCCGCCCCATGCGCTCGACTTCTACAGGTTGTACATTTTTTCTCTGACCAATGAAGCTGGTGGCGATTCATTTTTGCTCAGGCCATGGTGTCGACGCTGCCGCTTGGTTCTGTTTGAGCATGTTTAAAGTTTAAGCTGAGCTGTGATTCTGTTAACCAGGAGTCATAACAACAGAGATTGATAGCAATCAGTTGGCCCTTCCCCCCCACCCACAGTCCTGGTGCTTCAGGACCGCTGGCTTCGAGCCCCACTTTCAAGGCTGTGAGGGGTCCCTGAAAGCTGATATTCAATGATAAGTGACAAGAAAAGATCTTTAGGGCTATGCTGGGCTATGGGGCTTATCTTCCCACAGAAGCAGTGCCGCAGGTGTTGTTCTCAACGACCTGTCGACCTCTAATCTCTCAGCAACATATTCATACAATATTCGTTATATAACGTGGGACCCGTGTGTCAATGTGGGACCCGTGTCCCACTGAAGAGGTGTTGATGAACAGATCATGCTCTGAAAAGACTAAGCCCGGGAAAGTTCCTTTTCCGATCCCGAGCCCGAGAGGGCAACCGATCACGACCATTCCCTGAAGACAACGGTCCCCTTGTTTGGTCAACCGATCAGGGCCGGCCAGGGTGTTAAGTCCACAGCAATGTGGAGATGTCATCCCCACTGAGGACGGTGCCAGTGGAAGTGAAACAGATTCAGGAGAGTCCTGGGCTGCCTCAAGACATGGGGCCACTCGAAGAAAATCAACCAGTTTGCTCATCTGGCATGCTCACGGCGTAGATTCACGGTTCAAAGTTCACAGGAACATTTTGGGCAGGTTTCTTAAAGGGGTACGGTATGCACACTTCAGCTAACACGCTAGATTCCTCAGATACTGGTAGCAAGCTAACAAACCGATGGTTTATTAAGATGCCGCAAGCAGCCACCTACTTTGTATTTGGACAGGTAAGGCAGGGCATCCTGCATTCTTTTCTGGAGTTCAATTAATTATGTGGATGCCTCCAGCTTGTATGCTGGAGCTCGGGCGTGACTTGTCTTCAATGAAATACAGGGACGTGCGAGTCCCTATGTTTGATCTCTTTCCCGTTCTTGGGTTGCTTGTTTGTTGCCTTCACCACACTGGATTGGTTTTCGTTTGCTGTTGCACCAGGACCCAGCACCATCACCACCGCTGGAGAAGCCAGGACTGTTTTTTGTTGGTTTTCGTTGAATGATGTTGAATGTGTATTTTTTTTTGCGAGGATCCGACTGACCCAGCTCATTTGATCTGATCTACTTGAGTTCTGTTTGACGTATGCCGTATGCGATCACCTTTTTGGAAGCCATGTGGAGTTTGGACACATTGTACAGCTGGACTAGAAGGGAAATGTGCAATTCATGTTTTTGCTGTAAATTGTATAATATATTATATATATATGCATTTGTATTATTGTGTTTGTCATTGTTTGTCATCCATCACACCATAGCATTTTGCTCGTGGACACCATATCACCATTTGGGTGTGTCTATATATAGACGTAATCCCAAAGACATCAAACCCCAAGTTCCTCCAGAAACTCAGCAAATGCCGGCGTTGCCCTCATTCGCGTTTCCATCACGAGAAATCAGCCACAGCCCGTTTTTGATCGCTAACTTGGACCTTGGACACCAAAACCCAGAATGTCACAGCATATCACCACAATCTCAAAAGAACGCCAACAATGCCCTCAAAAACACATTTGGGAGCTGACCAAATTCGGTTCATTCCGGAGAGTAGCTCACTTGGCCAGGAGAGGAAGCTGAGAGAGCGTCCTTAAAGACTTTAGACGTCACCCACGTCTTGGGTGAGGACTTTGCCGCGCTCCAGAGGTGCCCAATGAGGGAAAACACTGGTGAGAGAGGGCCATGAAAATAGGTCAACACCACGGTCTGCAACTTGTTTGGTACAGTGAAAAGGCTGTTTCAGTGTGAGTGGTTGGGTCCCGCAGTGTCTTTTTTCAAGTCAGGGAATCCGCAGGTCTCTCGAGCATGTCGAAAGATGCTTGTGAGGTCAAGCATTCGGGGAGTGTGGAAAACAGATTGTGTTTTGGAATGGGGGACACAGTGGGAGACAGTCCAAACTTCTGATTTGGCAGCTTAGTAGCACTATTATATTATATATAAGTGACGAGACAACAAAATGGACACTGGGGACGTCAAACAAAATGGTTGGACGTTAAACACTTTCCACGAATGACACATGGACTGTTGAGGGTCCCAAGATGTCCCAAGGCCGTCATGGGTGAATAAGCTCGAGTAGCGACGCCAGGAGCCCCTAGCAGTGTCCCTTGTTCCAGTAGCGTCCCTTGTTCCTAGTAGCGATGCCCTTTGCTCCTAGTAGCGTCCTCTAACCTTCTGTGAAGGATTGAAGCACCAATTCGTCAACAAATCAGTTGTTGGATTTGTTCCTCAAGAGGATGACTCTGAAAGGTCCCGCTGCGACAAGTAGTTTGAACAAACGGTTTCCGCGGAGCACATAGATAGGGCAAGTGACTTCCAGTGCTGAATAAGCAGAGAGGTAGTCCTGGGACGATCATTTGGGTCCTTTAGATCGTAAAAGACAGCTGGACTGATGCATTGAATAGTCATGTCAATCTTTGTTGCTTGTTCTCAATTTGAGATTCCTTCTAGGGAGTCCAACTGTGTTTGAATCCATGTGCATCCATTTTCCCTCAGTTTTTGAGTGCCAGGGCTGAGGAGCTGCAGAAGAAGAGGATGCGAACCACCGTGCGGAGGCCCAGTATGGTCCAGGAACCTTGTTTCAATGCACTTGTTACTAGTAGCTTCTTGTTCCTATTTATAGATATGGATCCTATCTAAGCACGTTGACATGGTCCAAAGCACCATGTTTGGAATTCAAGGACTGGCCGCCTGGCCTACAAGTTCGTGCACGAAGTACAGTCTAGACTTGTCTAGACATGTTTGTTGTCCGGAAAATGGAGCTGCTGGGGAGCAAGGCAGCGAGGGGTGCTGAGGTCAAGATCTCTTGAGATCTGCTGTACTGTCCAGAGATCTTCAAGCAAGATAGACCAGAGCAAGATATACCAGAACAAGATCGCGAAGGGCATGCATGAATGAGAAGGTGGTGTTGTACTGTACTTGTTCGATTGTCAGCCTTTGCTTGCGATGTGCAAGCGTGCCTGTATATTTAAGCAACCTCAACTGCAGATTTGTCGCGCCGATCATGCAACAATGGACTCAACTCAGGGTAGCGACATGAAACTAATTATTCACTTGGACCAAGAACGAGCTTGTCCAAGATTGTCCTGCAACGTATGCGTGACCCAATTGAGCAGAGCAACAAACACATCTTGTTTCCAGAGCTGAAGAAGCTGTTTTTTGTCTTCCCCAAAACGCCAGATTGCCCCTGGTGCATCTCTCGGTGCCTGTATTCCACTACCCATCGAGACCCTGCTTGGTCCTCCATCGCGCTCACGAGGTCTCAGTGAGTTTCGATGACGCCACCTTCGCCTTGTCCGACTCCATCATGCCCTTGCTGAGGCAGATCGCCCAACAGTGGGAGTTTGTGAGGTCGACCTTGGGTCCAGAACGACGGTCTTTCCTTGTACTGTTGCATCAAGGAAACAGGGAACCAACAATGTGCCTGAGACGCAGAATGACGCAGAGGTCAGTAGCGGTTTCCTTCTGATCCCATCTTTTCAGGGGCTGCTGGTTGGGATGGAGAATCAATTGGTGCAAGGACTTGGTTGATGCCATAGATAAGCCAAAGTGATTGATCCCAAGTCCAACCACCAGAGCTTTGCGTATAGACGAATAACAATAACACAGTTAACACAGTTTTCTCAAGAAGCCAAGCACCATTCCGAGGAACAACCCCCAACTCACCAGCCAAGCCTGTGGCATGGCAAACCCTCGGGTGAAGACTTGTGACTGTGAGACTGTGAGGCTCCGTTTGGAGGCGATGCCACCTGGGCTTCATGTCGAGGCACTGAACACTGACCATAGGAAGGAAAGATGGATATCAGAAAGAGAGAGCAGCTACACAACAACTTTATGCAGATGGTTTGAGTTTTGCTGTTTTCGTTTGGTGTCCCTTTATTTTGTGCATCCCCTGAAAGACAGCAGTCAGTGTGTTGGGCTCTTTCGTTTCTTTCCAGAGGGAGCCGATACTTTCAGAAGAATAGTATCTCTATATAATCTCTACTTTTTTTTGCTTTGGTGGGAGCGGGTGGGAGGGGATCCGTCTAGCTTGTTGTGCTTTCCACTGACGAGGATCCTGATCAGCAATCTCAAGAAAAGAATCCGACCCGCGAAGCATCTATCCGATATTTGAACACATCAACCGTTCCACTGGGATTGATGGCACGGACATGGGAAACGACCTCATCACTTCGTAGGACAACTCCAAGCAAATCTGCTAGCCTGCATCCGTGAAGCTTCACTATGACATACTGCTCACATACCCTCAGATCCATTCCCAGGTGGAATCCGGCTGCATGGACTTGAAGTTAGATGAAGCCAGCCTTGGCGTGGAAATTCTGAACCCAAGGCAAGGGAGACATCCATGGGTAACTGGCAGCTGGGCAAGGGTTGGCACCTGTGCGGCTTCGGAGGAGATACGCTCTCTCAAAGAACCATGGAAAGGGAAAGGAAATGCCTGCAACTACACAGAAGGTTCATCCTTCATGACTCTTTGAGCAAGATCGAGTAAGGGTCTCCCCAGCACCAGCTCCGTAGGAGATGGGTGAAGCTGAAGAGGGAAGAACTCGCTCCATGCAAGAGTTAATCATCGCTTGAGTTGCTGGAGAGGGTAGTAGAGGCAATGCTCCTTAGGGAACTCACATGCTGCCAGTATTTTGCACAATGGCACAATGGTCCAGTTCAACCCAGATTGATGTGTAATTATGTATATTTATGTGACATGTAATGAACATATATTCATACATATTATAGATGTCAAAGCAGACGCCAGGCAGAAAAGGCAAAACACACCAGAGTCCAGGGCATCAAACATGTAAGAGTCCACAGTAATCGCAGAGGCTCACATATTAGGTTCCCACGACCAACTTTGCAAGAAATAAATATACCGCTGACAAGCGCTTGCTCCATAGAACTGTTTGCTTCCACGGAGCAGGACAGGACACGGAAGAATCTCTAAACGAAGGACCCACTTCACTGAAGTTGGCATAAACATGCAGAAGGTCCAGAGGGTAGTCTTGTGTTGATGCTCTAAGTAAACGGAATACGGGGACAGGGGGGCATGATGAAACACCCCTTGGGCGGTCTTTCGGGGTGTCGTCTTTATGTTTCTTCAACTGAAGTGTGGGATGAACAGACATTGGACTTCGATCGAAGAAGACCAGGAAACCACCTTTCGAGAGGATCGTTGTTCCTTCGACTTGTGAAACGGAGTTGAGACTGGGAAGACCTGAAAGATCCTGAACATGAGGGGAACAACAATAACTGGACTTACCTGTATCGGGCTTGAAGATGGCCATCCAAACCCTATAAGAGACCAAAAGATGCAGATTCTTGGGCCAGTCAACCTGTCTTGATGGACCCCGCACTCCAGGCACGGTGTTTGGGAGCCTTTTCTGGAACGCTTCGACTTCGCCTTGTCCATGAAGCTGGCTGAGACAACTAGCCTGAATTTGTGCTTTGGCTGCCTGGGCTGACTGGAGCAGAAGCTTCAATTCTGAACATGCTTTTAGAATATTCCGAGTGAGATGTGGATGGCAATGGACAATAACTAAAGCCTGATGCTCTCCCGTGTTATTGGGGGCTAGGGGCTAGCGGCCAGTCAAATTATTCGTGGCATATTCGGTTCGAGTATATATTGGGGATCCTTAACGTCCAGACTATCTGAGGCAGGCAACGACCAACACAGCCGGTCCTTAGAGGAACAGGGCCTCCTTAGTTCAGGTTGGTGGGGAAACCTCCGGGCCAAGAATTCAGGAACCAATGTCAAGAAGCATCATTCGAAGTACAACTGAAATTTGTTGATTGATTGAAGCATGGATGGAAATATTGAAACCTTTTGTGGACCCAAATTCATTGCTTGGGCCTTAAGTGATTGTTTTGGAGCAAAAAAGACGAACACAAGCCGACAACCAGTGTGATTTCAACACACACCACTGCTCCTGTATCCAATAATTGACAAAATTTTAACCATGACAAGCTCTCGCAGTAGGGTTGCTTCCTTCAACCCCCATGCACTCTTCCCCATGCGTCTTCCCCCGGTGCTCTTCACGTGACGGCTTCGCTCCAAAACACCCGCAGGAATGCATTGGGGCCATTGCTGATCAACGTGGTTCCGACCCCGACGCATCAAATGCTGGAGCTCCTTCCCTTGCTTTTGGCCAGTCTAAGGCACGAAGCGGATATGCGGTGCAGTTGGGGTTGCAGCTGTTCCTCCCATTCAGCAAGTCATCGAAAAAGAGCCGCATGGGTATGGCTTGGAGTTGCCGGATCGCTCTACACCATAATGCGAAATGGAGAAACCACAAGAATCTCCATGGCTCACAGGGTCTCGACCATTTTTGGGCTGCGTCAATTCTTCGCAGTTTGTTGGCGGCCTTCTCAGATGCACGCATATTGTCGGATGTTTGGAATCAGTGGTTGATCGGGCGAAACGGACCACAGCAATCCTCAAACTGTTGGTGATTGGTGAGTATGGTGAGCAAGAGCTTAAGGCATTGTTATGCATTTGTCATCTCAAATAAGCACGTGCCAGATCGTTCCAATCAACATGTGCCGGTCCTCTACCAGGCGTCCCAATGCTTCTTTTTTGTCAGCTTTAAGATGCTTTAAGAGAAGGTTGCCAAAATAGCTATGAACCCTGTCTAACTGTCCTCAATCAGTGCAAGCCGGCGGCTGTGAGAACAATTTTGTTCAACCTCCGCTGATGCATGTGAACCATGTGATCCATAAAAGCAAGTGCCAATAGTTTTGCATGCAGTGATGTAGACAAAGTTGCAGGGACCTCCAGGCAGCCTATTTTTCCGATCCCCACTTGCCAAGCTGCTAAGCTGCTGAAACCCTTTGGTGTTGCCAGGCCTCCAAAGCGATGTGATCAGTTGCTTGGACTGGCTGATCCCATTCCACGTTGGATGTGGCTTCAAACCGGTTCAATCCACCTGCCAACAGTAGTCCCATGGTTCGTCAGGCTTTTTGGGCCAGTCATAGTGGTGGAGTAGTTTGTGGTATTTTGTGGGGGAGTTGGAAAGTTAGATATTCGTGTGATTGAAGCATAGACCCCCTTGTTACCTTGTTGAAACATGTTGAAACAGCCATTGATTGAATAGGTGACGCGAATCCGGGAGTCCCTATGTTTAGACAGAGCATGGTAAATCCAAATAGGAGTCCCT